TTTCTGACTTACCCAGTAACGTTAATCAAAACCGAGAGTTTGAAGCTTTACGAGGGTAACAATTTCAGTTGGAGCAGCGATTTAGACACTATGTAGGCAAATTGATTTGAGACAATCTAAACGCAATCACAAATTATAGTGACCGGTTCTCGTTATATTCATCTGAGCTGGTCGACGCCTGTAATCCCAACTGGCGTGATCACCCAAACACGAATTGCTGTCAAACAACCTACATCTTCCCGCACCCCGTGCAGCTGGTAGCTTCTCGATACGAGTGCTAAAGAACTCGAATAGCTTAGCGCGGACGGACGATGGTACTTNAAAATAGTGAAACGACCGGAACAGAAACTGCATGCAATGATGAAACGAATCCAAATGAAGGATTTGATTCATCACATCCGACAAACGTTTACATATACACTACTGGGGCGAGAGCGGGAAAGGGAGAAAAGAAACTAACGCATTAGGCGAGTGTTTCTACTGCTGTTCACTAATTGAATGGCTCTCATAGAAATCAATTAATCATTGTCTTGTCTTACAACATAGAGCATCATTCATATGCACCGAGATGCGATAAAAAACTGCACTGTTCACTGCGCTGCACAGTGATTGCCGACTCAGCTGGAATAGCGTGTGCACTAACGAAACAAGAGATGAAGAATACTAAGTCACATAACCATAATATATACATACGAATGTTACAAAACAATAGCATTCATGAAGAATACGTTCAATAGGAAATTTGAGTTTGAATTTTGGATTCATTCTTAAAAAATCCAACCAAAAAAGCTGCTTTCGGATTTGTCCATTACGCACTGATAATTAGTTGCGGCACGGTCTGAGTTATCTTTTCATTTCAATTGGCTGTCTTATCATAGAGGACAATGTTTGCGAATCTCCTAAGATTATTTCTGTCATTTACGTTGTCCTTTTGCACAAACTAAAAATTATTTAGGGATTGGGTTATGCGTTATCTGAGTCAAACAAGTAGACTCTCTAGTGTAAATATTGACGAAAACGCCGAAGAGAACTTGTAGCAAGCAAACTACTGATTTCGAGGATTCTGTCGGTCAACAGATTTTTCATTATCTGGTGTTTTCAAAATAGGTCTTGCCACAAATGTTTCACTTTCACCTCTGGAGGTTAGTTTGGATGAGCTCTTCTCGTGGTGCTCGTTTGCTGATTGGGCAGATGGTTTCCCACGCGAAATCTGTGGGATAACGTGCGAGTAACCGCAGAAAACTCATCGTCGAAAATGAGACATTAAATCTCATGATTCTTAGTTCACTGCAACTAACCAATCAACCAGTACTCACCATAACGCTGTGGTAAACATCAATCGTTTTGAACAGCTCTTTTTGATCCCGGATTCACATACTCCGGTCGGTGTAAAACAGAACAACCAGGTTTTTGAAAAGGGTCAATTTGATTGTGGCATCCAAAACGCTGTTGATTTACTTTGTAAGTTCATCGATTTTGTCTTTCAGAAATGATTTATTTCTATGATTGCCTGATCTAGATAGACAAGCTGCTTTTGAAGGCACTTACTGGTTGAATGAAATGTTCTGGGGGAAATACACAGAGATCCCTCAATTAGTTTATTTAGTTATTTTAATAATCCGTTTAAATCATCAACCAACTTGGTGTGAACTGAGGTTCACCTTCACAGAGCAACATGTCATACACCTCACTGATGAAAAACTGCACGTCGATAAATAATCCCGGAAGTTTGTCTGCATTGGTTTGGCCTTTGAAAATGGAGGCAGCCAAATTTGATCGGTGTTGGAATAGAGAACATGGCAAAATCGGGTAAGCAGGACACATGTTGATCAACTGCTCCGTCGATTTTGAGCACACCAACGCAAGTGGAATTCATATGTTACTGTGAATGAAAGAGTAAGGTAAGCGACCTCACTTTGCCACAGATATATATATATATATATATATATATATATATTACATCAGCAAAGTCAACCAGCGCTGTCCATGCATTCGTTAAATAATCACCTATGATTCTTTTTGGAATTGTATTTTTGATTCCTTTTTTCTGACCAATCAGTGTTACGATTAACTAAACGCTTTCTAGAGACATGTATAGCTGACTTTTTTCACAGCAGAGATTGGATCCATCTAAAACCTCTGAATCGGGATTCCGATTCACAATTCACAGATCGCATGGAAAGGTGTGTCATGATGGGATCAGACTACCCCCAGTGTTTCAAGTTTGGTGCATGGTAACGTTTCAGGAAAACGTTCAGCTTCCACTTGGCCATAATCCTATCTACAATAATTATATTTCAGCCGAACAATTGAACCAAGGCAGAGGATTAATAGATGGAATTCGTTTTATATGATGAATTCGTCGTGAAAATGAGGCGTGGGCTGAAAAGCTAGGAAGCACTGGACAGCTGTTTCGATCTGGTTGGGTCTCATCAGTAGTGCGAATCCATCGACCTAACTGGAGCTCAAACCCGGGACCTCACAGGTAGAACGGAAGCATACTACCAACTCGGCCCAATTGAAATTCGTTTTGTTCGAAGTGCCTCGTAAATTAAAGTAAATGCAGCCAGGTGGGAGAGGAGGTTTTACCTCAAATCTCAGCCTGTTGCTTTAAATGCTCAAAACATTAACATGTTGCCTAAATAATACATGGAGACAACTGCATTTTCCAAATGACCTAGTCAGATAAAACTGTGGGATAAAAGATAATATTTGCACTAACTTAGTTCATAACATATTTCCCTAAACTAGGTTAGGTGCTACTTAAAAGATGACTGCAATAAAAAGATTGAAGGGTGTGTTCATAGGCTTGACAGTTATTTTGATATAAAATTCTATTCCAAAAGAACGAACGAAAGAAAATAGCTCTTACGGATAAGGTACATTTCTTGATTATTCTACTCCCATGAAACGCCGCACAATGCGTGTCTGTTTCTAGCACTTCAATATGATGGCCATTTAAAACTTGTTTTACTCGTCAAAGATTACTACTGCAAAATAAAAGTTTCAAATTTGGATAAATTCGGATAAAGCTTCGTGAAAGCAAGTTGCTCTAATTTCAAACTTTTTAGTCATTTATTATCAGGTCGGTGTTCACCCATCACTGTCTACGCCTCATTGCATCAACCTGATAGGGAAACCGGACGAGCAATGCTGAGGTTAGACGCGGAGTTTAGTTAACCGTAGTCGCCCTCTGGAACTGGACGGAACGTTTCCTTTAACATCAAATTGAACATATATTTACATACATTTCGGTATCGTGCAACACTGTATTGACACTGAGAAATTTCAAAATCTGTATACCGTAGAATTCCGAGGCAGTTGCTAGGATCTGCTTGGACTACTCAACCAGCAAAATCAAAATTTAAAACCAATAACTTAATTGCAAACCTAACTGAATGGTTCATCAATTGACAAAATTCTCCTGGGCATGTGATACCACGGGTTGAATTTCATCACTGGAAAACAGATAGTCTTCCTTTTAGTAGAAGGATACGAGAGATCTGATCTATTAAATAAGACAGGGATAGATTATCTGCATCATCTATGGCTCCGGCTTTCTGTGAGGGGTTGATTGTACGCTGCAGAAGTTCGATCGATGCTGCTTTAAGGTGCAGAAAATTGGCCATTACGTTCACAGGAGGAAAATAGAATGTCGGTGTTCAAACACTGCAGTCTACACCGACTACGAAGGTTTGCGGTGCCTGCCGAGATAGTTGATGGGTGGAAGAAATGCAAGAGTGGTCAAAATAAGACATGGCATGAAGCATGTGGACCGTGAACATGAGACTCGATCATCTAGTTCACGTTATTCTCTCTGGACAGAGACCTGGGAGCCCATGTAGCCGACGGTTAAAGTCACTCAGTGATATGACTGAGCATCGCAAATGGTGGCTATCGTGCATTTCATTATCTTCGTTTTGACCTTCGTACATGGTTATTGGTTGTAAGGCTAAACTGTCGGACAATGCATAAATAACCAAACATCCAGTTAGTGGCTGAGAAACGAAGGTGGCATGTTCTAACTCAACAACCTCCGTCTACCTATCACATTTGTTCCTTTAAAGCCTGTCAGTGATTGCTTTCTTGTTTATAACAATCGGATTCATGGTTGCTTATTTTATGAGGGTAAGTTAAAACAAGGAATATCAAAAACTATTTCGAAAAAGTGATCAATTTTCAACCAAAATAGCTTTTCGCCGCTAAATTTCTTCATCAGTGGTTTAATTCACGCTTCCCTACTAGTCTCCACTGTTTCAATTGTTTTCAATTTTTGAGATTTGCACATTTTCTGGATGAATATAGTGCGAGAACAAATCAAATGCCATAGAAAGGCGGATGATTGTAAGAAAAAACTAGGTGTAAATAAATTCAGTTCTCGGTCTGACTGATGCAAACATCCCATCGAAGATTATCCAAAGTGGATTATACGTACTTTTGAGTGCAATGTGTAGTGTGAGAAATAGCCACTTTTATTCAACTCACTCCAAGCACCAAATAATACAGGTTGAATCAGCCGAGGCTGACACACAGGACAAATCATCTTTACTGATTTGAATGCAAGATACCGCGTTTGTGTGCTCGTGCATCGCCTCGACCAGTTTGGTAACAAATGACGATTCCGGCACTCCTTTCTCATCGCCGGAACAACCCCGTCTTCGTCGGGTACGTCCGTGACGCTGTTGGACATCCGGTGGTCTTACCTCGGTAATATCCCACACCCGAACTTGTCCTTCTCCTCCACCACTGATTAAACGGTTACATGTGGAAGTGGAACACAGCGCTGTCACACCTTTTTTGTGTGCATTTTGTATGGTGAACATGAGGCGTCCGGTTTCCGGATAAAATGCACGTATTTTGCTATCGTCCCAACCTAATCATACATAGAAATAAGTCAATAAAACACGATGCAGTAGAGATGTATTTTGTTTTAATGTTCAGACAAATGAGTTCATCAAGTTCATTACTAAGAGAATAAGACGGAATGTGAACACAGGCGGGTTATAAGATGGAAAATCTACTTTTTTTACTAATAGATAATAAATCCAAATATAAAGTATGAAAGTTTTCTCAAAATACTCTTTCCCTCATTTTTATTGGCCAATCAGTTAATTAAAATTAATCAGAATGATAATGTTGAGGAAGGACGATGTCAAACGCTGTTATCTAAAAGTAAAAGCGTACAATGCAAGTGAAAACGACAATATCGGAATTCTTTTATTCATCGCTTCATGCGGAGCTAAAAAAAAAACCCCAAAGGGGTGGTTGTAGTCAAGTTGAAATGAATTAACTCTGTTATTGCACGAATAGTTGTGCCACTTGAGCCCAGTGCGGTGTCAGATATGAAACAGTCTCGGTTAATGGACTCAGTACACAGGAAAAAAATTCCCGATCAATATATGCAATCGTTTTAGGATTATAAATTATAATTTCTTTGTGTTCATCATAACTGTCATGTGTTGTTCTGATTGATCTAGTCATACCGCAGCTCCAGTTTTCTCACTCAATACAGTCCACTTGCCAGAACTATCAATCTAACACATGAAAACTGTGATTCTCTGTTTATTTGTTTCATAGCTAACTCAGTTACAATCATGCTCAACTATCGGAACTCTCGGTTTCTTTTGATGTACCGAAAAACACCACTACATACCGCAAACAACTTTGTTCTCCTACTACTTCAAAAACTGACCTGACACAATGGCTGTTCCGTCTGCCAGTAAGTCGATACAGTAGCAGTTCATATTTGGGATATTGATTCTCAATAGTTCTTGTTGTGTATTGGTGTTGAAAACGCGTACATCCTGATAGGAGCAGGTTGCAAACAATTCGGAGCAGCCACTGGTTTGGAGAGTGCAAGATGCATAACAGAACAGATTAGATTTTGCAATAGAGCCGTCAATGGAACAGCGCGCACAATGTGAGGCAAGCCGAATGAATACAATAGGGATTTTATTGATCGTGCTCCAGACTTTATGTCCATGCACGATCATCAGTGCATTGGCTCAAGTATAAACTTTGGCAGTGATAGAATCAGGTTACACCTTTTTTAGAGCTCACCACTAGTGCACGTACATTGGATAACAGATAACAGGTAGAATGTTGTTCAAACAAACATTTTTTCTCTTCATTCTTCTTCATTTTTACTTCCTTTTATTGTCTATACAATGGTGCAACTTTTAGGAAGGAGAAACCTGCCAATTAAGGGGCTGCCATAAAACACCTAGTGAGGAGAGCCCGGTGGTAGTGGTGGTGATGGTGGTGGTGGTGGTGGTGGTGGTAGTGGTGGTAGTGGTGCTGAGATTCCAACACATTTCCTCCGGGGTG